TCTGCCTCCCAGTTTCAAGCGATTCTCCTGCCTCAGCCTCCCGAGTAGCTGGGACTACAGGCGCCACCATGCCCGGCTAATTTTTTGGATTTTCAGTAGAGATGGGGTTTCACCGTGTTAGCCAGGATGGTCTCGATCTCCTGACCTCGTGATCCGACTGCCTCGGCCTCCCAAAGTGCTGGGATTACAGGCGTGAGCCACCACACTGGCCAAACTTTTAATCTTAGCAATTTTGTGGGTTTTTCCCCTCTTAGTGGGTGTATTTTTGAGGAGAAGCTAAATTTTTTTTTTTTTTTTTGAGATGGAGTCTCGGTCTGTCACCCAGACTGGAGTACAGTGGCGCAATCTCAGCTCACTGCAGCCTCCGCCTCCCAGGTTTAAGCGATTTTCCTGCCTTAGCCTCCTGAGTAGCTCGGATTACAGGCAGGTGTCACCATGCCTGGCTAATTTTTGTAGAGACGGGGTTTCACCATGTTAGCCAGGCTATTCTTGAACTCCTGACCTCAGGTGATCTTTCCGCCTCAGCCTCCCAAAGTACTGGGATTACAGGCGTGAGCCACCACGCCCGGACCAAGGAGGAGCTAATTCTTTTAATGCCTAGATTCCCATGCAAGCCTTCTTCTTCAAGTAAACTATTTTGCTCAATGGTTTGACTTTGTAGGCTTCCTTTAGGGAGGATTAAGTCACAACTGAATCACAAGACTTAAGAATGGCCCCTCCTGGCCAGGCGTGGTAGCTCACGCCTGTAATCCCAGCACTTTGGGAGGCTGAGGCGGGTGGATCACCTGAGGACAAGAGTTCAAGGCCAGTCTGGCCAACGTAACAAAACCCTGTCTCTACTAAAAATACAAAAATTAACTGGGTGTGGTGGTGGGGTCCTGTTAATAGCAACTACTCAAGAGGCTGAGGTAGGAGAATCGCTTGAACCTGGGAGGCGGAGGTTGCAGTGAGCTGAGATTGTGCCACTGCGCTCCAGCCTGGCAGACAAACTCCATCTCAAAAAAAAACAAAAAACAAAAAAGAAAAAAAAAGGAAAGGAAAAGGTAGAGGGAAAGAGAGACAGGGTGGCAAGACTCCCTCTGAAAGACCTAAGAAGATGATTACTCACTCAGGAGGCAGGAAAGGTGAGGCAAGGCCAAATCAGACCTCAGGGTCGTCAAATTAGACCTTGAGGAGCCTTCATTTCTGAAGAGACCAAGGTGCTTTTCTTTGAAATGACATAAAATCTACAGGAGTGCTAAGATTAAATCCCTGTGAGGATTGTTTCTCTCTCTCTTTTTTTTTTTTTTAGAGACAGGATCTCATTCTGTCACCCAGGCTGGAGTGCAGTGGCACGAAAACAGCTCACTGCAGCCTCTAACGCCTGTGCGTAATCCTCCTGCCTCAACCTCCCCAGTAGCTGGAATTACAGGTACGCGCCACCACACCCAGCTAATTTTTTAATTTTTTATAGAGATGGCGTTTGATTACATTAACCAAGCTGGTCTCAAACTCCTGGCTTCAAGCGATCTTCTCACCTCAACCTCCGAAATCAGGGGCACTACAGGCAGAAGTTATGTTAGCCTGGTTTTTCTTTAAGGGACAGGGTCTCATGTTGCCCAGGCCAGTCTCAAACTCCCAGGCTCAAGCAATCCTCCCCGCTCAGCTTCCTGAGTAGTTGTGACTACAGGCCCATGCCACCACACACCTAGATTGCTTTTTAATTATCTGACAGCAAAGTGCTGAATACATTAATTGGTGCTACATTTTTCTCTTTGGAGGCCTTGGGCTCCTGTCTTGCCAGTGAGCTGATCCCTCAAGGCTGAGCTCCTGGCTCCACCAGGAGTTGAAAGCCATCTAGAAGCTCCCCAGGTATACAGGTGGTGAAAACAAGTTTCAAGCAAAAGGACTGACCAGGGTGTGTGTGTTTGGGGAGGAGGGGGCAGGGGGCCTGCACACTTTCCCTGACTAATTTCCTCATAGAGGTACTTATTTACACTAGAACAGGGACTTTCTTTTTTTTTTTTGAGACAGAGTCTGGCTCGGTGGCCCAGGCTGGAGTGCAGTGGCCGGATCTCAGCTCACTGCAAGCTCCGCCTCCCGGGTTTATGCCATTCTCCTGCCTCAGCCTCCCGAGTAGCTGGGACTACAGGCGCCACCACCTCGCCCAGCTAGTTTTTTTGTACTTTTTAGTAGAGACGGGTTTCACCGTGTTAGCCAGGATGGTCTCGATCTCCTGACCTCGTGATCCGCCCGTCTCGGCCTCCCAAAGTGCTGGGATTACAGGCTTGAGCCACCGCGCCCGGCCACAACAGGGACTTTCAAAGTATTTTTTATTATCACATCCCAAAGAAAGAAATACTTTTTACGTGGTGCTCAGTACAAATACACATTCACAAAATTCATAAAATGCTGGTGTTTTCCATTCTATTCCTTTTTTTTTTTTTTTCAGACAGAGTCTCACTGTCTTGACCAGGCTGGAGTGCAGTGGCCTGATCTCGGCTCACCGCAACCTCTGCCTCCCAGGTTCAAGTGATTCTCCTGCCTTGGCCTCCCAAGTGGCTGGGACCACAGTTGCCCACCACCACACCCAGCTAATTTTTTTTTTGAGACGGAGTTTCACTCTTGTTGCCCAGGCTGGAGTGCAATGGCACAATCTCAGTTCACTGCAACCTCCGTCTCCCGGGTTCAAGTGATTCTTCTGCTTTAGCCTCCCAAGCAGCTGGGACTAAAGGCACACACCACCACGCCCAGCTAATTTTGTATTTTTAGTAGAGACGGGGTGTCATCATGTTGGTCAGGCCGGTCTCGAACTCCCGACCTCAAGTGATCCACCTGTCTCAGCCTCCCAAAGTGCTGGGATTACAGGCGTGAGCCACCGCACCCAGCAATTTTTTTTTTTTTTTTTTTTTTTTTTTTTTTGAGACAGAGCCTCACTCTGTTGCCCAGGCTGGAGTGCAGTAGCATAATCTTGGCTCACTGCAACCTCTGCCTTTCAGGTTTAAGAGATTACTGTGCCTCAGCCTCCTGAATAGCTGGGATCACAGGCGTGAGCCACCATGCCCGGCCTTCTATTTCATTTTCTAATTTAAAGTTGTAGTAGCAACCCCTAAATTAATTTCATAACACGCTAAGTCTTGAACCAGTTTAAACCCCAGCCCTAGAGTCATACTCTTGGGCTCTCTCCTCAGCCCTCACTCACCGTCCCCCAGAGGCCTGTTTTATTTGGATGGGGATTTTAGAAGGCAGGAGGCAATGCTCAAACTGGCTGCTTCTGAGCTGCCCTGCCAGTCCTGCCCATCTGCAGAGAGTGGGTGAGGATGCTCCCTGCTTCCTGGGCTGGGGCCTGGCTCTGTAGAGCGACATTGTTCTCTCCGTTTGGCTGCCTCCTGCATCTTCTCAGTTGGTTCTATCCCTGGAGATAAGCAGTATTTATTATTCTGTAAGGTTCCAATGTTTAGCAATGTTAAATAGTTCCAGCAAGATAAGGGCTAAAGGTATTCCCGATGGATTTTCCAACAAGGGATTTGTTGGAGACACAGGTGAAAACAGTTTCACTGGGTGCATGGGGCAAGGCATAGGAAGTGCACATTATTCAGGCGTGGGGCTGAAATGGACAAGAACAAGAGGTAATAACCAGAGAAGCCAGTTTTCTGAAGTGGGAGAAATCTGAGTGTATGTGTGTGGGTTGCTAGAAAACACCAGGAGGTGGGGTGGGGGTAAGGAGTGAGAAGGGGTAGGGGGCAAATTGATTTCTAAGATAGTCCTCCCTGGTCCTACAAAATGGCATGGAGTGGCTTACAATAAAACCACATTCTGAAACCAGTGTCAGTACGCACCCCAGGGGCAACCATTAACCGTCGGGGAAACTGCAGCCAGTGAGTAATTGTTCCAACCTCTCTTCCTTCCCAGAGGCATTTAGTGCCCTGAGAGGCCTCAGTGCCCTGAGAGGCCCCAATGGGATTCGGCCCAGAGGGTCCACAGCAGAGTCCTTGACGCTGTACCCTGACATTGGCCTCCTTTCTTTCTTCCCTGTCCTACTCTGCTGCTTCCAGATATCACTTCCCAAATAAACTACATCCATAGTCCTCCAAAAGTGTTAATACAGAAATACGGATGTAGCTAAAACATCACTATCTGGGAGGAGAGGAGCATACATATGTAGCCAAAGGGAAAGGGGATCACATCAGAAGGAATAGGGGCTGGGACCCAGAGCCAGGGGTACAGAGGAATCGGGAACTAAAAGGAGGTGAAGAGTTGAGACAATATAAAGGGAAAGAGGTGACCCTGCTGGGCCCTGAGAGCCACAGGCGGTCTCTCGACCCATGTACCCTACAGCCAGCTGTACATGGCGTCACCCCTTTGGAGAGCCAAAAGAACCCGACTGCTGTACTCAGGTCGTTTCTCCCGTTCTTCCTCCTCGTGCTACACACGTAGAAGCCTTGGCAGTCACTGGGGGGACCTAGAACAAGGCAGTCAGCTCTAAACATTCTGAACTTCTGACACTGCTTAATTCAGCCTCACCAGGACCCCAAGACAGCTGGGTCCGGGAGGCAGCGAAAGAAGGCTAGAGGTGGCGGGGAGCCAGGGACCTGGGTTCTATTCCTGCGTCTGCCACTCCAGAACCGTGTGATCTCCGGCATCTTGCTTCAGTTTCCTCCCCGAGGTCTTGAGGGATGACCAGGAGACAGATCGCTTGGGTTTGAACGCAGGCTACACCGAAGCACTGCGATGCGGCGTTGGGCGGGTTCCTTAACTCCTGGGCCTCGGTTTTCCCTTTTGCGTGGTATCGTTGTACGGAGTAACCGAGAAAAGCCACGAGCTAACCCCTGGTGGTTGCCAGCAAGCACCGCCGTCTTCCGTCCTCCCCAGGTACAGCCTCTCATCCCCACACCCCGCACCTGGCAAGGGGAGCGGAGGTCCCTGCGCGCCTGCCAGCGCCCCCCACCCGCGCCGCCGGGTCCCGGGCAGCCAGCCGTGACAGCGGCGGTGCATTGTGGGGCTTGTAGTGCCGGACTGGGGCTGGGTGGGTGGGCGCGGCCGCGGCAGTCGCAGCGGGGCCATCTTCGGCGGGCGAGCGGGCTCGGCCTGTGCAGCCCGCACCTGCGCCCCTCGCCCAGCCCGATGGCGCCGCGGCCGCTGGGCCCCTTGGTGCTGGCGCTGGGCGGCGCCGCGGCGGTTCTGGGCTCGGTGCTCTTCATCCTCTGGAAGACCTACTTCGGCCGCGGCCGGGAGCGGCGCTGGGACCGGGGCGAGGCCTGGTGGGGCGCGGAAGCCGCCCGCCTCCCCGAGTGGGACGAGTGGGACGTGAGTGCCGGGCCTAGGTTCGCGAAAGGGCGGGCAAGCTGGGGCTGCGACTCCGCGCATGTGGCCAAGGGGTGTGACCACGGCCCTGCTGGGGCTGGGAGCTCGGGGGGTCGAGGGCTTGGCAGCCGCAGCGGAGGCCCCGCGCGGGTGGCCGGTCAGAGCCCGGGAACCGAGGAACGGGTGGGCGTGTTTGGGTGTGTACAGCGCCGTAGAGCCGCGCCGTCGCTCCACGCCGTGGGGCTCGGGCGTTCCAGCGTGGGCTGGAGTTTGGAGGGCGCGGCTCGGGAGTATCCTGGGCCCCAGCTGGGTCGGCTCGCACCCCTCCAGCGCCTGCGCAGTGCGCACCGCCCCGGGAGATGTCGGGAGAAACCCCGTCCCCTCCCGCCTGCGGCTGGGATTCCGAGTCCGGTGGAGGAAGCAGGGCGCGCGAGTGTGAGGAGTTCGCCAAGGGTTTGGAACTCAGGACTCCAAAGGCAGCGTTCGTCCCACTCATCCAGACCATGCCTGCCTGTCCCAGGACGGGTGGAGGGCGGGCCTGAGCCCTCTGGTGCCTTGGTCTTCCCTCGGGAAAGGTCCACCGGGAGGCCGCCAACCACAGCCTTACCTCCGCTTCCCCGCAGCCCGAGGACGAGGAGGACGAGGAGCCGGCGCTGGAGGAGCTGGAACAGCGCGAGGTGCTGGTGTTGGGGCTGGATGGCGCGGGCAAGAGCACGTTCCTGCGTGTGCTGTCGGGGAAGCCACCGCTGGAAGGCCACATCCCCACCTGGGGCTTCAACTCCGTGCGTCTGCCCACAAAGGACTTTGAGGTGGACCTGCTGGAAAGTGAGCGGACACCCTACCCCATCTCCCCGTCTCCTCTACTGGACCCGTCCTGGATTCTTGCAGGGAAGGGGGCTTCCAAAATGCATGTCTAAGCAGCACATTCCCCTGTACGAATCCTTCCCACCCCTCTCTGGGGCACAGGATTCAGTCCACGCTCTGTGCTCTGACATTTAGGGCCCTTCGTGATCGGGCCTCTCCAGTTGCACGGCCTGCCCCATCACCCCTACCAAAGTCGGTAGGCCTAACACAGAGATACTAACAGCTAAGGGTTCATATGCCAAGCACTTGACAGGCATTGCTTAAGAAAACTCCCCTAAACAATTGCATAAAACTAGAATCAGTCACTACCCTAATTATCTCCAGAGAAAAATGAGTTCCAGCAGTAGTATCATGAATCTAAGGTCACCCACCTTTCAAGTGTTCTTTTTTTTTTTTTTTTTGAAATGGAGTCTCACTGTGACACCCAGGCTGGAGGGCAATGGTGCAATCTCGGCTCACTGCAACTTCTGCCTCCCAGATTCAAGCGATTCTCCAGCCTCAGCCTCCTGAGCAGCTGGGATTACAGGCGCCCGCCACCACGCCCGGCTAATTTTTGTATTTTTAGAGGAGACGGGGTTTCACCATATTAGTCAGGCTAGTCTTGAACTCCTGACCTTAAGTGATCCGCCCCCTTCGACCTCCCAAAGTGCTGGGACTGCAGGTGTGAGCCAACACGCCCGACCTTTCTAGTCTTTTTTTTTTTTTTTTTTTTTTGAGACAGAGTCTCTGTTGCCCAGGCTGGAGTGCAGTGAGCAGTGGCACACCCTCCTCCACCATTGCCTGTCTGGCCCAATCTAGTATCATCTTTCCTCTCAGCACCACAGCCTCCTCTTTGGTCTTCCTGCTTCCCCTTCTGTCCCTAGTGTCAGCTGGAGAAAGCCCATGTCAGGTCATGTCACTCTTGCGTCTCCCCACCCCCTCACTGTGTCTTTGGCCCTATGTGGCCCGTCCCAGCTAGCCTCACAGCCATGTCTTTCTCCTTCTTGCAGTGCCTCAGCACCCCAGCCTTCTTTCTGTTTTACAGACACTTCCAGCTTGCTCTCCCCTCTGTCTGGAATACTTTCCTCTGCCTCTTCCCGTGGCTGGCTCCTTCTCACCATCGCACACTCAGCTCACATGGCACTTCCTTGATGAGACCTACCCAGACCACCCAATCCAGGGCCAACCCCTGTTCCACCTCAGCCACTTTCCCTTTTTTCTGTTTTATTTCCTTCCTTTCTGAAATGTGTTGATGTCACTGCCATGTGCTTCCCAGTTAGGGAGGGAGCTCCTTGGTGCAGGGCCCCTGTCTGCCTTGCTCACCTCTGTATCCCCAGCACCCAGATCAGTGCTTGGCACCTAGCAAGCACTCAGTAAATACTTGTTGAGTGCCTGCTGTGTGCCGGGCATTGTGCTGAGGGCTTTGTGGGGATCCAGAGGTGAGTGTCTCTGACTCTCACAGCTTAGAGTCCACAAGTGTCAGAAGCATAGCCAGAAACACTAGGGTGCGGGCTGACCAATGGGACTAGTGCAGAGGAGCACAGAGGAACAGAAAGGTGACCCAGGCTGGGGGACTGTGTTGGCAACTATGTGTTCGTAGGATGGAGTATGACATTTCCAAGGGAAAAGAAGGGGATGGGGAAACTGAATGGAGAATGGTTGTATATAGGCAGGGCAGGGGGTCCTGAGTTTTCTAGACAATAGGACTCCTGGCTCCTATCACAGCCATCACTGACAGTTTCGAACCTGTCGGAGAAAGCTAAGAATTAACAAGAGGCAAAGCAAGACAGCCCAGGGGAGAGAGCTGAAGAGTCCCATTTACTGAGCACCTATGTGTCAGTCCTGTGAAAGGTACATTGCACATGGTACCTATGGGTTTTACTGCAACCTGTTAGGAAATTTCAGGGAGGAGACTGGCGTTTAAAGCTAGAGACTTGCCCCAGGAGACCCACCTGTCAGAGCTAGAGCTGAATCCCGTCTGAGTAGCTGCGGAAACTGCCATCTTTTCCTTGCCCCTGGCTGGTGGAAGCTCACCAAGCTAGGAGTAGGGTGGGGTGGGAGCTGTGGGCAGTGAGCCAGGGCCCTGGACGCTCTGAGCTGGCCCCTGGCCTCTCCTCAGTTGGTGGCAGCCAGAACCTGCGCTTCTACTGGAAGGAGTTTGTGAACGAGGTGGATGTGCTGGTGTTTGTGGTGGACTCAGCTGACCGACTGCGACTGCCCTGGGCCCGACAGGAGCTGCACAAGCTGCTGGACAAGGACCCTGACCTGCCTGTCGTGGTGGTGGCCAACAAGCAGGTGAGGGCTGTGGGAGGGCAGCTCAGTCCAGGGGATGTCCAATTAGAGATGCTTGGGCAGGGGCAAGGAGCGCTGCCTGGGCCCATGGCCTAGAGAGGTTGGCTGAGATGCTGCCCCTACCTCTTCTACCTATGCCCTGTCCTGATCCCTGCCTCTGTCTTCCTTCCTCTTTGCCTCCCTATCATCTCGCGCCCTGGAGGGATGAGAAAAATAATTATTAAGTGCCTCCTACATGCCAGGCATGGTGTGTTTGTTTGTTTGTTTGTTTGTTTTGAGGCAAAGTCTTACGCTGTTGCCCAGGCTGGAATGCAGTGGTATGATCTTGGCTCACTGCAACCTCCACCTCCCGGGTTCAAGCAATTCTTGTGCCTCAGCCTTCCGAGTAGCTGGGATTACAGACATGTGCCATCACACCCAGCCAAGTTTTGTATTTTTAGTAGAGGCAGAGTTTTGCCATGTTGGCCAGGCTGGTCTTGAACTCCTGACCTCAAGTGATCCGCCCACCTCAGCTTCCCAAAGTGCTGGAATTATAGGCGTGAGCCACTGTGTCGGGCCCCCAGGTACGGTTTTGAATAACATTTCTTCTTATGCTTCTGTTCAGCCTATAAAGTATAGGATGCTATTCCATTTTATAGATGAGAGAAGTTCTGTAATCTTTCCAAGGTTGTACATCTTGAGAGTAATAGAATTGGTCCAGGCGTGGTGGCTGAAACCTCTACCCCCAACACTTTGAGGCCGAGGAAGGTGGATCGTTTTGTTTTGAGGAGTTTGAGACCAGCCTGGGCAACATGGCAAAACTCTGTCTCTACAAAAAAAAATGCAAAAAATTAACTGGGTGTGGTGGTGCCTGCCTATAGTCCCAGCTACTTTGGAGACTGAGGCAGAAAGATCACTTGAACCCGGGAGGTCGAGGCTGCAGTGAGCTATGATCACACTCCAGCCTGGGTGACACAGCAAGACCCTATCTCAAAAAAAAAAAAAAAAAAAAAAAAAAAAGAGAGAATAGTGGAATTGAGAACGTCTAACTCTAAAGCTGTACCTTTTCCACTCTGCTATTCCCTTGCAAATTCTGGCTCTAGATCAGAGAGCTGAAGCTGGTAACTGATGAGAGGTAGAAGAGGTTAAATAATAACAGCTAACATTTATTGTGTGCTTACAGTGTGCCATACATGTGGTAAGCACCTGACAATCATGACCTCACTTCAGCCCTCCAAAAACCCCATGATGGGCCCTACTGCTAGCACTAAATACCTGGAGCTGCAGCTGGTATGTGGCAAAGCCAACCTGAACTCAGATATTCTTCAAAGTTCTTCCTCTAAACCAGTATGCTGTACCTCTCATGGGTGCCAGAGAGTCGCCTGGGCCCAGGAACCCTCAGTATCACAGACCTTGGGTCACAATATTACGTGAAACTGCCAGAGTACAGAGTCTGATCATATTTCCTGTGGCCTAAACTCAGGTGCCTCTGAGCGCTGTGGGACCCATTTCCAACTTGATGTGGAGAGAGGCTGTATGTCTTTGACCTCAGATTCCCCAACCTATTAGGAAACATTTGACAATTATTTCTAAATAGGGTGACTGTATGTCCTTTTCTGTCCAAGACAGTCCCCATATATGACTATTAATAGTGCCTGCTCTGAGCCTTACACTGCCCCAGTTTGGACCAGGAATCACATCATGTTCTATTTATAAACTAATTTATAGCAGTTTTGAACTTGTAGGAGACAACATCTAAGGTCCCAGCAGTCTCTGAATTGCTCCAGGAAGAATCATTTCAGTCTTGGGCCAGGGTTGAAATTACAGTGTACCATCACCAGCCATGCTGTGTAGTGGTCTCTTGTTTTCCTCCAGCTAGTTTCTAGAGGTCTTGTCTGGAAGTGACCCTACTGTATCATCTCTCCATGACTGAGTTTAGGAAACTTGGTTATCAAACCAACCTGAGTTGGATCTGGCTCTGCCACTTATCACTGTTACCTTAGCTCAATGATTTCAGCTCCCTGAGCTAATTTTCTCATCAATTAAGTGTGGACTGTGAAAATTAAGCTAGGTATATAAGGGCCTGTCTACAACGCTTGACATATAGAAAGTGCTCTGTTTCTGGCTGGGCGTGGTGGCTCACGCCTGTAATCCCAGCACTTTGGGAGGCTGAGGTGGGTGGATCACCTAAGGCCAGGAGTTCGAGACCAGCCTGGCCAACATGGTGAAACCCTGTCTCTACTAAAAATACAAAAATTAGCCAGGCATGGTGGCTCACGCCTGTAGTCCCAGCGACTAGGGAGGCTGAAGCAGGAGAATCGCTTCAGGATTCCACCACAGGAGGTAGAGGTTGCAGTGAGCCAAGATCGCACCACTGCAGTCCAGCCTGGGTGACAGAGCAAAACTCCGTCTCAAAACAAAAAAAGAAAGTGCTCTGTTTCTTACCACAGTGACTGTGGTAATGCAATGAAATTACCACAGTGATGATGCAATGAAAAGAGGTTGGTACAAAGGTGAGCCCAGGGTGAGGGAGAGAGTATTGAGGTAGATCAAGGGGTCCAGAGGCTACGTCTGCGAACTTGGGGCCTGATATTCCCAGGGATAGCCTAAGAACAGTGTATTTCATGAATGACAAGGGTGTGAGTGTGTTATGAAATGCTGCCAGCTGTGTTCTGACTTCTCTGTCTCACCCAGGACCTGAGCGAGGCCATGAGTATGGTGGAGCTGCAGCGGGAGCTGGGCCTACAGGCTATCGATAACCAGCGGGAGGTTTTCCTCTTGGCAGCCAGCATTGCCCCTGCAGGACCCAGCTTCGAAGAGCCTGGCACTGTTCACATCTGGAAACTGCTCTTGGAGCTTCTCTCCTAGGCTGGAGCTCTCCTGCTCGCCACCTGCCTGTCAAGACCACAGTTGTACTGCTACTGCTTCATTGCCAGACTGGGCCTGGGGCAAGAGCCACATGGCAGCATTTCTCTTCTGCCCTCCTTTCCCTCTCAAGAGCAGGGCCTGGGCAAGGCCAAGAACCATGCAGAAGCTTTCCTGGTGAGGTGGCCATGAAGCCGAAGCAGGGAGGTGGGTGAGACAGAGGGTGGGGAGGATAGTGTCTAGCTCATTCCAGGCTGGAATGTGGTTCCAGCTTTCCCTTCTCTTACCTGTACAGTGAGATGCTCAGTGGGCTCAGTCCTCCGCTGCGGGTCCCGGTAGCTGAGGAACCAGTGTAGGTGTCAGAAATGCTCCTAGAGCCTCAAGGTCTCTCCCAGTCTAGACTGTTCCCTCCTGGTGACGTCATGCCTTTCTCACGTGGGCAGCTTCTGAGTGATAACACAGCAAGCCTTTGTTCCCAGTCCTGCATTGTACAGCCCCAGCTCCACCTAAACGACTTGTGGCCTTGTGCAATCTCTGCCTCTCTGGCCTCAGGGCCATTATTTTTAAAGGGAGGTGGTTTCCCAATTCGGAGATGCCTTTCCCAGCCATGGGAGTATGAAGTGCTAGGATGAACCTGGCAATCCTAGCAAGGAGCTTTCTGAAGACCTCCCTGCTTTTCCCTGAGCCCAGGCCTGGCCTGCCAGCCTCTTTTGACTACAGAATAACATATTCACCCACCAAACAGAAAAAGTGAAGGCTGGGTTTTTTCCCCTCGAATCTGGAGACAAGCTGCTGCTCTTGTACTAACTGTGCCAATGCCCATGTTTACATAAGTCAGGGGAAGGAAGGAGCCTGTGTCCCTGGGACGACAGTCAGCTGGAGCCAGGTGTTGACCTCAGAACTGCAGTTTATTAATTAATTTATAAGAGGAACAGGCCAGAGTTCTAGGCTCTGTTTCTAGGTGCTGTTATCAAAACCCCAGATGATAGTGATAGAAAATGTGGAACTTAGGAAAATAGCTGGAATCATGAATGACAATGAGATAACATACAGATGTCAATGGAGACAACACTGTAGGTTCCTCCTCCCACCAGGCTTTGAGGCTGTCTTCGATGTCATAGTACTTTACATGGATTCACGTGAACTGAAACTCCACCACTTGGCCCAGGATGTTGAAAGGGTGCAAATTCTTTCTGGGTAGATAAGAAATGGCTCTGGGAGAGGATTTCCCTTATGTGAATCTAGGTAAAAAGATGGAAAAAAATTGTATTACGTGATCCTAAGGACAGGAATAGCAGACCAGCCAACAGGCTGGCCTTGGGTACATCACTCAGCCTTTCCAGGCCCAATTTTTCCCCAGTGAAAGGCGAGTTGGACTGTTTCTGGAGTTCTCATCAGTGCACACTCCATGGTTCTCCAGTGCTTGGCGATCAGCCCAGTGTAAGGACTGGCTCTGTACTGACATTTATTGTTAGTATAGGCAAAGAGGAGCCTGTTGTCTGTTAGGGACCACTAAATCAACAACCACAAAAGGATTTTTTTTTTTTTTTTTAAGAGGAGCTGTGCACCTCAATTTGCTGTCTAGTTGAGAATAGAGATTGTTATTCTCTTGCCTTCATTTCATTTGACATTTACCCAGCATGCCTCAGTTCCACACTGTGACCAGTGCAAGAAGAGGAACTGTGATAAAAACAGTTCAACAGGCCGCAAGGAGGGTGGGAAATTCTGAAGTCCAGAAGCGAGTGCGATCTTTGGAATAGTGGCTGCTGTGCCCTTGAGCGCCATGTAAAGAATCACTGTTCTTTAAAGTGCTGGTTCACTTTCTGCAGTAAGAAGTGGTTTATGTGCTCCTATGTAAAATTTTAAGGAAGGACTTGGGTTTTAGAGTAGCCTTTGAAACTTTGCTGGCAGCTTTTCATTTTGTCATTGGAAGGGTAAGAGACTTTTCTCCTTTGTTCTATGAACTCCTTGTTCTTCAGTGCTTGAAGGTGTTAACAAAAAAAACCTTAGACAACTTTAACAGAGTTTAAAAACTATGTTCTGGTTTTGAGCAGAATAAAGATTCATGAACTGGGTAGTACTTTGCACCAAAAGCAGTTCAGAATGCTCAGCCCCACCGTGTGTGTAGGCTACATTTATGGCCAGAAAAACGAAAATAACTCAGATTGCCTGATTGGCTGCAGTCTGGTATTTGTCTTATTTGAACATGTTTTAGCAGCCTTCAGCTGATGATTGACTGAAGGTTTGGCTGCTGTGATTGGCTAAAATTCAGCTACAGGTTACAAGAACACACTTTTAGGTTAGGTGATGAGTTGTTTACACTTTAAGTTATAATTCACTGTGTACAGAGGCAGCTTTAGGCCAGACTTAATTCAGCTTCACAATGTCCCCCATTTTGCTCAGTCCCTTAATTTTGAGAGAATGACCAAAATCCCAGGCACTGACACTACCTTGTCACTATTTGACCTCATTATGGAACTCACAGTTTACAACGTTAAATCAGTTAGAGGATTCTTTATGTCTTCATGTTTTTGTTCCTCTAACCGTAATGAGACCGTTTGAGGTACAAAGGATGACTGCACTGGTGTATTTACGACTACAACACATCAGTGAGGACCTTAGGATGGCTATCAGGGCCATAATACCAAGAAACTGGAATGCATTCCTAAATATGAGTCTCCACAAACCAAACTGATCGGAATCAAACAACTCAAGGTCACAGTCGCAACGATAAAAAATAGTTCAACAGCATTCAAGCGCTGTGGCTCATAGCCTGTTCAGGGTATAACAGCAATTAAAGACATAGTTCACTATGAAGTAACTTAATTTTAAAGTTTTTGATTTTTTAGTTAGCTTGGTAACAAAAGTCATGGTGACTGGGATACCCACTAAAGGAAAGATAAAGATTAGAAAACCTTAAAACGGCTGAGCTTGCTATCTACTATTCAGGATGCCTGCAAACCGACCACTAGCTGTTCCTGCAAGCACATCATGTGTTCCTTTTCCCTGAGAAACGTCCTTGATGTGTTTGGTGGCAGTATCTACAGAAGCGGCAGCCACCACCGCCTTTTTAAGCTTTCCATAGTAGTAGAATCGGGAAAGATAAGCACAGCGTTCGGTTTTGTTCAGCACCACACACAAGCTTCTAGCTGGGCAAAGGAAGTCTAAAGCTGCATGAAGTTCCATTTAGTGTTTTTGTTGAACACAGATGGCCTCATCCATTCATCCATCTGTGGCTTCTCCCCGTGTGAATCTCCATGCTACAAAATGTTTTTCAATTTAGCATTAACTTTAATTTCCATACAGTTGGCACCCCACTGCCATGGAAAGTGAGTCCCAGGAACCCCACTGGAACATCTGCTCGGTGGAAACTTACTCATCATCTGTCTCGAGGCCGGTATTCATTTTAGTCTTTGACCTCTGATTATGGGGACTTTCAGGGAAAGCTGTTTGCAAGGCGAGTGTGAGTCAGGCGAAAGAGCAAGATCTGAAGTCAGGACAGAGTAAGCAAATTATCCACAGACCTAATATGTACCCTCTGAAGCTGGAAAGTGGGGGCCACCTGGTAGCATTTGAGCAGGGGTCACTTATGTTCCACCATAAGTCTGCACAGCTCCTAAACAAGCTCCAATGGGGAACTTGTTTGTATGTGGTCCCTTTATAGCATGCTGTAAGGGTGCATAACCACAGCCAGGGCGAAGGGACCCTACTGGATTTAACCCAGTGACATTATATAAGCAATCGCTTGGAGCCACATAGGTAGTTCCCAGGTCCTGAATATGTGACGCCTGAAAGCATAGGTGTAGGCAGTATTCCTTGCATAGGCATTAGCTGGACAGGTTTTCCATATTGGCACTTATTAGTTATTAATTGAAAAGGTCAGGGTACCACTTACAGTGAGCGTAGGGAAGCAAGTAGTGGTATTTAGAACATCAAGGTTAGCTGCCGGGTGCGATGGCTCACGCCTGTAATCCCAGCACTTTGGGAGGCTGAGGCAGGCGGATCATGAGGTCAGGAGATTGAGACCATCCTGGTTAACATTGTGAAACCCCGTCTCTACTAAAAAATACAAAAAATTAGCCGGGCATGGCGGCACACACCTGTAATCCCAGCTACTCGGGAGGCTGAGGCAGGAGAATCTCTTAAACCCGGGAGGCGGAGGTTGCAGTGAGCCGAGATCGCACCACTGTACTACTCTGTCTCAAAAAAAAAAAAAAAAAAAGGTTAGCATTCCACTCTTCCTTTGGGGTTTGGGGTTTGGGGTTTCGGGGTAACTCATTGGGAACATGGAGAGATACTGGCATTAATGGAATCGTTTCCTGATTTTGGCATTAACTCAGACCCAACAGTTACTCCAGTTTCTTGCTAGAGCATTAGCTTTTGCTAAAGCCAGCCCCAGATTAGGGTCCCATGGATTTTCCCATAAAGAAAGGGAAAGGATTTGGGGGCAGAAAATAGGAAATAGAGGGAAAAAGATAAGATTTTTGTGATTGCAGTGAAGTCTTCATCCACAATCTAGAGAAAGCTGTTCGTGTCTAGGATGCCATCTGCTTCTGGGGAAAAACTTCCCTGGGTAGCTTTACCTTCAAGTCTCCAACAGATGTGTAGTTCCAGGAGTCTGGAGAGGTCCTTTTGAGCTGTGAGATGTGGACCCACGGTTCGAAGCCCTGAAGTTTTGCCATACTGTGGGTAATAGAAGAACTTGGTATCGTCTCTATGAGGTTTAAGGGCACTTTTTCTCTGATATCATCTCCAGAAGACCCAGTCTCAGGTTACAGATTGTGAAGGGTGTGATGGTCCTCTGTGAGTCACAGAAAGTTTATTTTGTCAAAATACAGTGTGACATAATGCGTTATAGCTTTGTCGTATTTAGTCATATGAGCATTTAGGAGAGGAGGAACTATGTGAAGTTCTGTTAGGAGCACAGGCTTTCTAGTAACTATTTCATGGGGGTCAATCTGTGTCTGTCGTGGATCTGATCCGCGGACCAAAGGCAATGGTTGACTTTCTTCTTCAGAGATCAGAAAAATAAAAATGAAATTCAAAGCTAATGGTAGTACCTTTGGCCAAGATAATCCAATCAATTCAGTTAATTTTGCCAGTTTTAGTTTTAAAATATTGTGTGTCCTTTTGGCCTTTCCAGAAGACTGAGGGTAAAAGGGATGATGGTAGTGTCACTGTGTTTCTAACACTTTATTTAGCTGCTTCATAGTTTGTCCAATAAAATAAGTTCCTCTGTCACTGGAGATTTTTCCAGAGATGCCCCATAAAGGAAACATATTTTCTTATAACTCCTTAGCTGCTGTCATGGCACAGCACCAGCTCTCCTACACAGGAAGGCTTCTGTCCAACCAGAACACATGCCAGCTATTACGAGAACATACTGATACTTAATCGAGGGCGGCAGTTGAATGAGGGCCGTCTGTAAACGTTCCAGTGGTCCATCAGGTGGCGGTGGAAATACACCGCTTGGAGTTTTTATTATCTTCCCAGGATTATGGGTTTGACCAACCAAATATTGGTTATAACCCATTTTAGCATTTTAGAGGAGTCACACTATCAATATTTTTTATAATTTGGATCATTTTGCTCATTTCATGAGGAATTGTGAGGTGCAGAGGGTTTTTTCGTTTTGAGACAGGATCTCACTCTGTCACCTAGGCTGGAATGCAGTGGTGCAATCGTGGTTCACTACGACCTCCACCTCTAGGGATCAACAGTCCTCCCACCTCAGTCTCCTGAGTAGCTGGGACTACCAGTGTGCGCCACCATCCCCAGCTAAATTTTGTAATTTTTGTAGAGAGGGTTTTACCCTCTTGCCCAGGCTGGTCTTGAACTCCTGGGCTCAAGCCGTCTGTCCAGCTCAGCTTCCCAAAGTGCTGGGATTATAGGGATGAGCCACCATGCCTGGCTGAGTGCAAAGCTTTTAACAGTGGAAGTTTCAAGGGCTCAGGAAGGACCAGGGGGCCATCTAGGCTCTCCGTGAGTTCACACGTAACATTATGTTTATGTCTGTCAGACAATTTTGGCTTTCCAGATCAGGTGCATGGCACTGTTAGATGGGTCTTCAAAAAGGTCATCAGTCTAGTGGCATTCATTCCAATTGCACATCCTAACTGTTTCAGCACTATCTGATTTAGCATGAAAATCTGCCAGGGCAGTCCCTTGATATTCAGGTTCAGCTTTCCATGTATGGGCTTCAATCTTGCAAGAATTTGTTATTTATTTTTCTCCTTTACTCAAGATAGCTTGGAACTTAGAGCAATTTGTGATGGCAACAGGATAGTAGCAAGTTCATCCACTTGAGTCTGTTTTTAATGGGGGCTCCACTAGAATTGAGAACCCCTCTTTGTTGCCATAACATGCCAAAATTGTGGACTACTCCAAAGGCATATCTGCTCTGTATATAAGCATTTACTGATTTCCCTTGAGCTATATGACAAGCTCAAGTGAGAGAAGAACTGCGAAGAGTCTGCTTTTTATTAACTCATTTTGGGTTGTAATGACATATCTTGCCAAAGAGTAATTTCAAATGATGTTAGTCTACTTGCTGAAAAATGCTGGGTTTGACTGGAATTTAATAGACTTTCCACAGCACGTGGAACTTGCAAAAAAAAAAGTTCATTCCCTAAAACCAGGTCAGATGAACCCTTTACCAATCTGGTGGTTGCTGCCACTGCCTTTAAGCAATTAGGACATGCCTTAGCTATGGGGTCTGATTGCAGGCCATAATACGTGATGGGCCTGTGCTTTCCCAACTATGTTCTTTTTCATATATTTATTTATTTTTTGAGATGGAGTTTTGCTCTTCTTGCCCAGGCTGGAGTGCAATGGTGCAATCTCGGCTAGCTGCAATCTCCGCCTCCCAGGTTCAAGCGATTCACCTGCATAAGCCTCCCAAGTAGCTGGGATTACAGGCGTGTGCCACCACACCTGGCTAATTTTTTGTATTTAGTAGCGACCGGGTTTCACCATGTTGGTTAGGCTGGTCTTGAACTCCTGACCTCAGGTGATTGTCCGCCTCAGCCTCCCAAAGTGCTGGGCCAACTATGTTCTTGAGTAAGAACTCCTAATGCCTGATTGTTGTGTTTATGAACAAACAAGATGAAGGGTTCAGTGTAATTTGGAAATCCTAGAGCAA